CACATTCTGAAATAGAGATTGAGTCATATAAGCTGTGTTTAGTTGATTCATATTGTAAGTGTTATCTGTCAGGTCAGTTATACAATGTATGTTATATATCAAAACAAAGATGAGATATTTTCCTTTTTGATAATTAGATAAACTTATTAAACATATTTTTGATCAAATTTAAAGCCTCACAAAGAGTGTCAAGGTTATCTGAGGACTATCAGGCTTTAATGGTGGAGGACAGACTAGGCATTATTTCCGGCAAGAGACACAAAATCGGCCACTCACCTTCCACAAGTCTCCCTAGTTAATTAATGATTTCAATGTAAGAAAGGGTTGGTAACTTTTTTTACGATGATAACTTGGTAGTCTTGTATGATAACAGGTTTTCCATCTATTTTGTCAATGAAATTAGGTGCACATTTAAAACAACTGAACTTAATCAACATATCCTTTACAGTTAGTAAACCATTATCAAAGGAGCAAACTTGACAGAAATAAAATACATGAAGACATGTCTTACTTTTCTTATCTGAGGAATATATGGTGATCTGTTGGGAAGAACGTCATCTAAACCTGTAATTAATAACATTCAATTATTCTTATAACTTTACCAAACTTGTAATTTTTTCAACAATATATAAGATGAATGTGACACTATGCCCATTCAAGTGTAAATGGTGAGTGCACAAGTAAAAGACTTTACATTTTGCCATAATTATGTTCACTTTTATATTTTACTATGCAAAAGTAATCAATAATCCATGTCACCCACAGACATTTCTATAAATATCCTTATGAATGTGTCAGTAATGTTAAATTTTTAAAAAGAATGGAGCAGTAATTTCATTATTATATTTTGTCCTTCACATTTTTATATCAATTATTGGTTAATCACCATTATAACAGTCAATCTTTTGAAATATATTTTTAATCAAACTCAACGGCACAAAATGAGTATTATGTAACTGTAACATTATTCATTGAATAGGTATAATTATATAACCCAATTCAATAAATAGGTGTATTATATGACACAAACTTTCCTGAATATATTTTTTTCAATTAAGTAAGAATGAAATTTATTGGAGAGGGACTGTATTGTGCAGCTTAAAGTATAGAGCCTGATCTGATAATCAGGAAATGATGACTGACCTGGGTATATAAACTGGTGATATAAGCCTACCATTACAACCATCAGGTGATTTGTTGCAAAGAACATCATCACTACCTTTTTCTATTGAGGAGCTCTTGTCCACCCCATCAACATACTTAGATACAGGCAGGCACCATATATCTTACCTCTAGCCTTTTATGACTTTGCAAGATCTCCTCACAGCAAAACAAAAAGTATCGAGTATATGATAAAAGCTTAAATATGATATCATTATTTCGTGGTTCCCTATTCCCCTTTTCTTAAAACACACATCTGGTATACAGACATTTTCTACAAAAATTACAATTTTTCTCAAAAATGCAGTGTGAATAACCATTTAAAATTTAACAACATGTCTGTTTTCCTAGTGACTCATTTTTGCCAATTTATGTGAAACAACATTATTTCAACATCCCAATTGTACTGACATGGACAAACAAGAGGGCCATGATGGCCCTGAGGTCGCTCACCTGTATATAGGTATATAGCCCCCCCCCCCCACACCCATAAGAAGATGTTTCATGCTAAACATCTAAGCTCTAGCTCATTGGGCTTTTTAAAAGAAGATTTTTTAAAGTTTTTACTATACACATATAGTTAAAAACAATGACACCCCTGGGGTGGGGCCAGTTTTGACCCCAGGACTTTTATTTGAACAAACTTTGTTGACACTTACTAGAAGATGTGTCATGCTTAATATCTAAACTCTAGCTATTTGGGTTTATTCAAAGAAGATTTTAAGTTTTTGCTATACACATATAAGGAAAATCAATGACCCCCGGAGCGGGGCCAATTTTGACCCCAGGGCTTTTATTTGAACAAACTTTGTAGACACTCACTAGAAGATGTTTCATGCTTAATATCTAAACTCTAGCTATTTGGGTTTTTTCAAAGAAGATTTTTTAAGTTTCTGCTATACACATATAAGAAAAAACAATGACCCCCTGGGGCGGGGCCAATTTTGACCCCAGGGCTTTTATTTGAACAAACTTGGTAGACACCTATTAGAACATGTTTGATGCTAAATATCTTAGCTCTAGCTCTTTAAGTTCTTTAAAAGAAGATTTTTTAAGTTTTTACTATGTGCATATAGGGAAAATCAATGACCCCCTGGGGCGGGGCAAATTTTGACCCCAAGGCTTTTATTTGAACAAACTTGGTAGACACCCATCAGAAGATGTTTCATGCTAATTATCTAAGCTCTAGCTCATTGGGCTTTTTAAAAGAAGATTTTTTTAAGTTTTTACTATACACATATAGTTAAAAACAATGACACCCCTGGGGCAGGGCCAGTTTTGACCCCAGGGCTTTTATTTGAACAAACTTTGTAGACACTTACTAGAAGATGTTTCATGCTCAATATCTAAACTCTAGGTATTTGGGTTATTTCAAAGAAGATTTTTAAGTTTTTGCTATACACATATAAGGAAAATCAATGACCCCCTGGGGCGGGGCCAATTTTGACCCCAGGTCTTTTATTTGAACAAACTTTGTAGACACTCACTAGAAGATGTTTCATGCTTAATATCTAAACTCTAGCTATTTGGGTTTTTTCAAAGAAGATTTTTTAAGTTTTTGCTATACACATATAAGGAAAATCAATGACCCCCGGGGCGGGGCCAATTTTGACCCCAGGGCTTTTATTTGAACAAACTTGGTAGACACCTATTAGAACATGTTTGATGCTAAATATCTTAGCTCTAGCTCTTTGAGTTCTTTAAAAGAAGATTTTTTAAGTTTTTACTATGTGCATATAGGGAAAATCAATGACCCCCTGGGGCGGGGCCAATTTTGACCCCAAGGCTTTTATTTGAACAAACTTGGTAGACACCCATAAGAAGATGTTTCATGCTAATTATCTAAGCTCTAGCTCATTGGGCTTTTTAAAAGAAGATTTTTTTAAGTTTTTACTATACACATATAGTTAAAAACAATGACACCCCTGGGGCAGGGCCAGTTTTGACCCCAGGGCTTTTATTTGAACAAACTTTGTAGACACTTACTAGAAGATGTTTCATGCTTAATATCTAAACTCTAGGTATTTGGGTTATTTCAAAGAAGATTTTTAAGTTTTTGCTATACACATATAAGGAAAATCAATGACCCCCTGGGGCGGGGCCAATTTTGACCCCAGGTCTTTTATTTGAACAAACTTTGTAGACACTCACTAGAAGATGTTTCATGCTTAATATCTTAACTCTAGCTATTTGGGTTTTTTCAAAGAAGATTTTTTAAGTTTTTGCTATACACATATAAGGAAAATCAATGACCCCCGGGGCGGGGCCAATTTTGACCCCAGGGCTTTTATTTGAACAAACTTGGTAGACACCTATTAGAACATGTTTGATGCTAAATATCTTAGCTCAAGCTCTTTGAGTTCTTTAAAAGAAGATTTTTTAAGTTTTTACTATATGCATAAAGGGAAAATCAATGACCCCCTGGGGCGGGCCAATTTTGACCCCAGGGCTTTTATTTGAACAAACTTGGTAGACAATCATTAGAACATGTTTCATACTAAATATCTTAGCTGTAGCTGTTTGGGTTTTTTAAAAGAAGATTTTTTAAGTTTTTACTATATGCATATAGGGAAAATCAATGACCCCCTGGGGTGGCGCCAATTTTGACCCCAGGGCTTTTATTTGAACAAACTTGGTAGACACTCACTAGAAGATGTTTCATGCCAAATATCTAAGCTCTAGCTCTTAGGGTTTTTTAAAAGAAGATATTTAAAGTTTTTTCTTTTGGTTGCCATGGCAACCAGAGTTCTGCATGGAATTAAATTCTTTGAACAATTTTTAAAGGTGACCACCAAAGGAACATTCCTGTGAAGTTTGGATGAAATTGGCCTAGTGGTTTATGAGGAGATGTCATTTAAAGTAAAAGTTTACGGACGACGGACAGACGACGGACGACGGACGCCGGACGAAAAGCGATCACAAAAGCTCACCCTGTCACTTTGTGACAGGTGAGCTATAAAAGAGGTAACATTACAAACTTCTCACCCATATGATACATAGGTAATACTATTGGAGGCGTGTCACATTCTGCTATGAGTCTACCAACTCCTGAAAGAATGAATCCAAAACATGTCTTATTATTATATCATAAATTAACAAATAATATTTCATAGTTGTGTCATCACTTACTTAAATATTTAAGTTTTCCCACAACATACATTTATTACTTTTTTTTCTTACTTATTTGAAAACCACACAACAATTTTATTACTGTTTTTTTCTTTACTTTAATTCAACCAAAACCCATGCCTACTATATTAGAAAAATTTAGCATGGTTATCACAAAAATACATGTATAGGAAAATTTTTAACAAACTTTTTCAAACATTCATCTATTTAAATGACTATACCCATAAAAATATTGTTGCTTTTTTCCCATAAAATACCATATATGCATAAAAGGTAAAGCTAGCCTAGTTTCGGTAAATTTTCACAATTTACTGGAATTTTCATAATAAAATCCCATCACCAAGTAAAGACACAAATATAATATAATTATGCAGTCAACACTCTAGAGTCTTGCCTGGCTATGTACTGCAGGCATAGAGCTGCACTTCATTGTCTCTAGAATTCAGAGAGTAAAGAGCAGATTGGGGCCTAGTGGTTAAGGTGTCTGCCTCTCAATCCTTGTGTTTGAGCCCAACTAGAATCATGTCCAAGTTTCCTCATCTAGATACCAGTAATGGTTAGTTTTGAAAGTGGTTCAAGCAAACTTTTAACTTTCATCACAACTGAGCTAGAAATAAATAAGTTTAAACACAAAGGAGCTCTAAGAGGTCCAAAACCATAAAAAAAAAAAAATTTGAATTTCATACATAGTCTAACTGGGACATTAAAATAGACAGATATGTAAAATATTTCCAAGAAAATAAACAATTTGTATTTGTGTGCACTTATTAGTCCGATTTGAATGAAAATCCACTTCTCTTCTGTCATTTTTCCTGTTAAAATATTTTTTCTAGAAAAAAAACAGAGTTTTTTCACACAAATTATTTCTCTAGATCTACATCAAAGAACATAAATATAGGAAAAATATTTCCAGTCCTATCAAGTACAAACACCTCAGTGAAGTTCCTTTAAGATAGTCTTACTGCAATGCTTTCCCGCCAAAAGATTTCTATCAATATCATAATCAATCGGTTATTTCCTGAATGTTATTTTTCACAATCTTCTGCATTCAATAATTTTCAACCGTTTATAACCCGAATTTAGTAAGGATGAATGATTGTTTATAATGTAATGCCAAAGATTTTGGAAAAAAAATAATGTTCCAGAAATAACTGATTTGCTACATTAATGGCCAATGTTAAGATTGTTTTTGGCGGGAAAGCATTACAGTTACAAGTAAGACTACCTTAAGAGTAAACTCTTACCCCACTTCAGCCTCATTCTCAGATGTTCTGCATTGACTTTACCTGCAAGATAATGACATATTTATGTAAAATGTCTTCAGACTTATTAACAGGATGTGAAAAAAACACACCAAAAACAAACAAAGTATATATACCATATCACATAGAAATAAAAGAATGTGTTGTCGTGTATCAGAAATAATTATCATATCATTATCTTAATCTCCACGAAAACGCCATCCTTATGAAAAACTATTGTTTCAGCAAAATTTTCTAGGATTGTTTGTTTTGTTTGTTTGTTTCATTTTACGCCTTTTTCCAACAGTATTTCAGTCATATAGGCGGGTAGTTTCCTAACCATCGTTCCTGGAGAGTTACACCAGTACTAGACTACCTTCCTCCGCGCTAAACTACCAAAGCATCTCCCGGGGATAAATTTTCTAGGAATACAGTAGTTTGCACAGAATAACTTGAACTTCATAGTTTGGTTTTCTTTCAACAGAATTTCAGCCCAGTGTCTATCAATAAAAAACCTGACCCCTACACAATGTTACTGATGAAAGGGCTGCTTTATTGAAACTTTGATTGTAAACGCCTTTTTAAATTGGACAGTAATTTTGACATATATAATATAATATTTCAGGACTATATAATTATACCCAGGTAATAGCTTTAATGATTTTCAAATAATATGCAATTTTCGATGAAATACTGGGCCATGTATAAAGAAAACATATACAATGTATAATTTATAATAAATGTATACCTTCAGGAAATACATGTATCCAATCACCCTTGTTAAGTTTTTCCAGACAGAAATTTGTACCTCTCTGGTACACTCCATCTCCCCGTACAACAGGAACGCATCTATAATGTACAAAAAATAAACACATTTTTTATTCCCATCTGTTTGCATAGGATAACGTTTAAAAATCAACATCACTTTTGGCATTGCTATATTTACTTTACAATTTGTCAAAATGAAAAATACACAAATTGTTTTATTGGTGTAAAATACTGTGATGACCCATATAATGACTTTGATATTATGTTATAGGTCAATATTGAGTATACCATTCAACATTGGTCTCTGATAAATGGAAAATCTTGCTTTCAATTAATTTCCTCTATAATTAAAGTGTAATGGCTTGTACAGTGATCAAGACAATTCCCCTCCCAGCTTTTTTACAGAGAGGACAATTCCTCTTCTTTTTTTGACCCATGACATTCAGGGATTATTCCCATCCTGTATTTTGAGAGATGACAATTGTTCCTGGTGAAAAAAAATAGAAAACACAGGAGGAGAATTATCCCTCTTGTCAATATAAATAATGAGAGGGGAATTGTCTGGGAGTGGAATTATCTGGGATTTGTTTGCACAGTACCCTCATAACCTCAGTAACAAAATAATTTGACATTTTATCATCAGAATATTTTACAATTCTTTAAACAGTATGAATACAATAAAAAGAATTACTCACTTGCCAAGAGAAAAAAATAATGATGAAAAGTTATTGGTAAAACAAATATCATGAGCTGTGGGAATCCACCTTAAATACTTTGTGCCTGCAAGTAGATGTTTCCATTTTCTTATACCTGTAACAAAATTAACAATAATTTTGATTTCATACAAGCATTATTTTTCAGTACTGCTATATAAAAATGCTTCTTCCTGGTGTAATTTTACAGTATCAACCACTAAATTCATGTACATAATTACATCATATAAATCGGCATGTACATGTACTAGGAATCATGCATGTACATACTATGATGCAAGTTGGTGATTGGTGCAAGGTAATTTATGATAATGTAAATGTATATTTATGTAGTTTGACCTAGATGTCTTGACCACCACTGAACTAAATGTATTCCTCATCAATAAACTTTCAAATTTATAAATAGGCCTGAGGCCTTAAATATATCATAATAAAAACTGAACTCATGTTTGACTATTGAGGTTAATATAACTTTCAGTCATTAATGGCTGTTGAAATAATATACTGATCTAGCCCTTCTAAAATCTGTCTCAGTATTATAAAATTTAGAACTGTTTCAGGATAATAAATAAAGTAGCCAAGTGTACTTTGTGTGATAGACTGCATGGTTGCTTAGCATGCTAGTACTCTAACCTTTAGCCTGCTTAATATCTTTAATGAACTTGTCCCTAACAATCTTTTATCAATTTTAGAAATATCAAAATGAAACTTTGAAGCTGGTCAGTCTACAGTATAGAGCATGGTCATCCTTCACACGACACAAATGTGTAAACTGACCTGGCTTTATACTGGTGGCAAATTTTCATTTCCAGAAGGGTAAGGCCTAAGAAGAGTACTGTTTCTCTTTCTTTATATTTCTATTTTTCAACTTATTTATATAATCTATCATAGACATTAAAGATTTACACTCATAGGACAAGCACCAGGCTTTCAAATACATTTGTATACAACAATATTGTATATTTTCACTTTTCACTCGTAATACTACTGTATCATTATGTATTTAAATCTTGTATATATAATTTACAAGCATAACACATCAACATTGATAAGAAATTGACAGGAAAAACTTACTCCATATACAAGGATCATCCAGACATGAGTAATGGTTACTAACAGTTACCAGCCCCTTTCTACTCGGCCGTTTTTCTATCAAAGTTATGAACTGTTCTCTGTTGTAAAAGAAGGTTTTGTTTAACAGCTCTGGAAAAGAAGAAGTATCCAAATTATAAATAACATCCCATTGTTATTTAGGTCAATTTGCAAGTTCAATGTTGAAGGAAATAATTTAAAATTTTCATAATTAAAGGTATACATTGTATCTTTGGAATTCTGAAACTTCTTAAATTCGGAAAATTTTAATAACCAAATAATTTTCGAAGTCCCGAAATTTTTCCATCTGTTTTCAATATAATTCAGACTTCTGTAAACTTCTTTTAATTGTGTCTGCTTCATATGTTTTATCTTGTCTGAATATAAAAAACACCTGATTTTGCTACTCTAAGATAATTTTGTAACTTCCAAATTCCTAAACTTTTACAGGGCTTACATTAATGGAAGTTTGGGAGCCATTTACTCCTTAATTTTGGCTTGTGACTTCCAAAATCTAATACTTTTCCTTCTATACCTATATAATGTGACTCCCACTATTAGAGATTTTGCAGTGTCTGACTTCCAAACTTTGGAACTAAGTGGAAGCCCTGCTTTTAGGCTAGTCCCACAGGTGTAGGGATGTGCGGTATTACCGGTATACCGCGGTTTCGTTCAGACGCGGTACGTACCGGTACGACCCCTAGGAATACCGGTTTTTTAATATATATAATTTTACATAATATTTTTGTAAGATTCGGACGTTATTTACCCTGTAATCTGTGTTTCAACTTTCAACCTAAATTAAAGTGGAAAGCCAAGTCTATTTTTAGAGCAGCAGTAAATGCACAGTATAATACTCTAACGAATAATTAGTCGCGGAAAGGTCGGATCGTTTCCCGGTTGTTTTTCATATTTATTATGTAGTGTAAATACATTTCATCCGCCGACATTTTTATAATTTCTATATATCATTCTTCATTTAAATGCATTAAAAGGGGACACCCATGTTAGTGCTCAGTCTAAGGCTAGTAAACATGTTGACGTATTGACGAGTGGCGACAATAACAAAACGTAAAGCATTTAGACATAGCCCAACTTGTAAACAGCTCATACCGTCATGGACGAATTCACCACGGTCAAAAATCCAAAGGGGAAATCGGATATTTGGCGGCATTTTGGGCTCCAAAAGTCTAAAATAACACAGAAATTAATTGATAATACAGCCGTATGTATGAAGTGTGATATGGTCATAAAATGTTCAGGAGGTGGGACGTCCAATTTATCAGCTCACATTCGCCGACATCATCCGTCATTATTGTCGTCTGCTAAATCATTAAAATCAAGTTCAAAAACTACCACCGCTGATGTTCATGTGGACCAGAAACAAAGTGAGACTGTTTCTTTACCTACAATACCAAAGCTATTTGCGTCAAAGTATGCCAGTAGTTCAGATCGATCTAAACTAATAACAAATAAAATTGCAAGATTTTTGGTGAAAGATCTCCGTCCATACAGTATGGTAGAAAGTCCCGAGTTTAAAGACTTGATCAGTTGCCTTGACCCAAGATATACTGTCCCAGGCAGGAAGGTGTTTTCAGAAAGAATCATACCCGAGATGTATGAATCTGCCAAGGAAAATGTGAAACTTAATCTGAAGAATGCAGAACAGGTAATTAATGTGATAGACTGTGACAGATTATAATTTTATAGTCATTTTTTAATATAACAATAATTAATGAAATATTGTAACATAATAGACTTAAAAAGACATAACTTATAAGTTGACATCAGTTTTCCTTAAAATAATGATTTTTGAAAAAAAAGGGTATCATTTATATAAAACTGCAAAAAGAATTCATATTATATCAAAATATGCATATGATTTTCTGTAATACGGTCTCAAATTTAGGGTTGATGACTCGATGGCCATCACAGAATGTCAAGTTGCATTTAATTATAAAATTAACGTCTTTTACATGTTCTTGCAAATTTACTAAATTTAGTAAAGGATAATTTTGAACCCATATAGTCTAACAATTTTTTTTCAGTAAATTTAGTCAGTTGTATGTAAGTTATGCCTCTAACTAAATGTATATGCATTTCAGGTTTCACTGACGACTGATGGATGGACGTCCTGTGCTACTGAATCATATATGACAGTTACATCAAGCCATATCACTGATAGTTGGGAGTTGAAGAACTTTGTGTTGCAGACCAGGGCACTCCCAGAGAGTCATACAGCAGTGCATGTTACAGAAGTATTAAATGCAGCAGTTGAGGAATGGGCTCTACCAACAGGGCATGGTAAGCCGACTCTAGTAACCGATAATGCAAGTAACATGGTGAAAGCTGGAGAGTTGTTTGGTTCACTTCACCTTGGATGTTATGCTCACACATTGAACATAGCTGTGCAGAAATGCTTATCAGTAAAGAGAGCTAGTCACCTGCTTGCCAAGATCCGTCGAATAGTGGCTTTTTTTCACAGAAGCAACATTGCAAATAATATCCTTCAAGTAAAGGCTGAGGCTCTAGGTCTTCTGCAGCATAAATTGATCATTGATGTTAGCACAAGGTGGAACAGTGCATATGATATGGTGTCTAGATTTCTCGAGATGCAGGTGGCTGTGTTTGCGACCCTTAGGTCAAAAGATGTTGGCAAAGTGAGTGATGTCTCCATTTCTGATGAAGAACTGCTTCTAGCAGAGGAGATGATCAAGTTTCTAAAGCCCTTAAAGGATATCACAGTGATGCTCTGCTCAGAAAACAACCCAACAGTCTCTGTAATAATGCCCTTACAACATCAGATTGTAAACTCCATCTTGACAGGCACAGATACTGAATGCCCTGCAGTGACAGAGATGAAGTCCTTGGTTAAGAAAAGTCTTGAACCTAGATACAAAGGAAGTGAGCAAGTTCTCAATATGTGCTCAGCACTTGACCCAAGATTCAAAATGCTTCCTTTTTTGTCAGATGAAGACAAGGCTGGGGTTTTCAATAGACTTACATCAGAAACAGTTACAGTAAATGAAGTGAGTAAGGTTAAAATTGAGCCAGATGAGAACCTCCTAACTGAAATTGATGAGCCAGAATTACCAAGTTTGCCTGAAAATACAGAGAGAGATAGTAAACCAACTGAACAAGAATCCACCCAAGGCCCACCTTCAAAGAAGATCAAAACTGAAACAAAATCAATATCAACAAGCATGAAAAGTGCAAAATCATCAGTATTTGGAGAAATCTTTGGTGATGTCTATATTTGTGCAGTTGAGCCACCCAAGACACCTCTTCTTCTTGCTCAGGCTGAAGTACAGCAGTACAAAGAATGTCCACCAGTTCCCTTGGATGTGAACCCTTTGCAGTGGTGGAAAGATAATGAGCACAAGTTCCCTCTTCTTGCTCGGGTTGTTAAGAAGTACCTGTGCATTCCAGCCACTAGTGTTCCATCTGAACGAGTCTTCTCTACTGCTGGAGATATTCTTTGTGCCCAGAGGTCACGTCTTAAATCAAAACACGTTGACAAGTTGATTTTCCTAAAGAAGAACTTGCTATAAATGTCCCGCATAACCATAGCCGGCCTTCAAATTATTCTAGACAATAGTCATGCAAACCAATGAAACCATGTGCTATTAAAAACTTAAGACAATAGAGGAGTCTTCATGGGAATTGCCATTTTTCTGTTTTAGATTTTGTTGAAAATATTATCAAGACAATAAGGTTATTTTCTTCTTTCTTTTATTTATTATTTTCCAGTCAGGTAGACAGATGTTAGTTGAAAGAAATAAAGATATTAATCTGTTTTTCTAAAATGTATTGTGTTTTATCAAAATGTTTAAACATTCTTATGGCAGTTGGTAGTCTTAGTTTGCATAAGTTAAACATTAAAAAGTGTCTTCATAATACCGTGGTACATACCGCGGTACACAGGTGAAATACCGCGATATACCACGGTACAAAAAAATTGGTGGTACCCATCCCTACACAGGTGTTTAATTTTTAGAAGTTATACTGTATGCATGCATGTATACATAAGTCAGCATCTACAAATTAAAACAATAAGTTATGAATATTCCAATATTTTGTCTTCATTTGCAAAAGAATGCCAGTTTAAGGTGAAAAAACTTATTCACATTTTTTTTGGGTTAGCATTTTCTTGAACTATAGACAGGTAAATGCTTATGCAAAATCAAAATTAATAATGACTCAAGGAGTAGAGTACTTTTAATAGTATCAATGGGTCCAAGAGTCAAAACATTTTCTGTTTATGAATCGCAAGGTTTTGTTGGATATTTGTTAAGAAAGACAACAGTTGTTTATTTTTAAACATCAAAGTAAATTTAATGTACATTGTATAGATCTGCCAAATTTCTTCAACATAGAAATTACTTGGATTATGAGAAAATGCTTGGGGTAAAAAGGAAGGCAATGCAAAAATGTAAAATTAAAGCATTTGATTTAGTAGAAATGAAAAATAAACATATAAGGAAGTATACTATACATAGTAAATTTGAAAATTTTAAGCATTAAAAAAGAATGACGTTTTCACTTTTTGATACTATGTTCAACAAAATCACACAGCTGTACACATTCTCTAGATACTTTGACACACAGATGCAATTAGATACATTAATCTAAGCAGTTTCAGCTTGTCCACTTAACATGAGACCATGATGTAAACTAACAGGGAAGTCTAAATCTCACCAGGTCAACCACCTGACTACTACATTATAGTTTGGACAATGACCACTACACTCCTCCATGTGTATTTACAAAGCCTGGCTGCCAGATAAGACCTTTCTATTCTAATATCCATTCCAGCACTCAATGTAATGAGTGACTTCCTGGATTCTTAACAGTACTGTTACTGTACCCTGCTTGTACAATTGTATCAAGTACTACGTGATTTCCCTTAAACAATTACCTATGCAGCCCCATTATGACTTACTCAATCACCCGAGCAGTCTACTATAACTTACTCTATCTAACCTCTTACTGCTCATATAGCACTTATTTAAGCTTCTCAATGGAAAAAAAACAACAACTGCAGTGTGGAATCCAGTAGTATTTTGGAGTTGGTGTTTTTTTTCCCACATATTCTGGGCTGAAATAGGACTGCATTTATACAAAAACTATATATTTCACAATTGTTCAATTTAAATTCATAATTGTCAAATTACATTTGTGAAAAAAAAAACAACTTAAAAACATAATAAACAGAGACATGTAATAGTATTAAACTATTTAAAGGGACTTTATTTACTAGATGTTAAGTATGATTCAAGGCATTTTACATGATTGAACAGTGAAATTTCAAGTTACGAAGAAATCATAGTTATTTAGATGCAGGTGACGTTTTAATAAGATAAATTTACATATTCTCCCAACATTATATGTGTGGGTGCAGCATCTCGGAGGCTGCTTGTGTTTATCAATGACACGTATCGAAGTGTTAGGCAACATGGAGTAGTTTAGGTGTACTTCGGATATGCGCTTTCGGATAGTCGTTTTTTTCAAAGGGCAATTGACACTTTCTTTTGTTCTTTTTATGGCCCTAACAGGCTGTTATAGCTCAAACAAGCTATATAGCTCAATCGTGAATATTCCCACAGATATACATACACTATTCAACTCCATGATATTCCCCAGTCTGTTGAAGCGTTTCCCCAATTAGAAAAGTATGATAAAGGTCTATATTTAAAAGTAATAATGACATTACTTCATTTATTTTACAATTCAAAGGGCTCAGAACCTGGAAAAACTACTATGTAAGTGAATTTGTCTTAAAATTTAACCTGTTGACGTCTAAAATTCTCCCGTATCCGACAACAATGACACTAAAAAAAATGATAAGAGTTAAATTATATGTCTTACCCATCCACAACTTGCTCAAACAGGAAACGATGATAGTTACTATATAAGCGAAAAATATCCATAATAAGGGTGTCTTATTGTTTGGTGGATGAAACCACCTCACGTCGACATTCATGCTTCTTTTTTGACAAGCTGTCTGCAATCTATGTCGCTTGCAACAAATAAAATAAAATAATCATTGCTAAAACTCGTTCTGCACGGAATCGGTATTTTGTACGTATCCCTAAGCCTGTTTTTTAAAAACTGATTTTAAATCTTCATAAAATAAGACATTAGCTCTAGATTAAAAATAGAAGAAAAAAAAATGAATTTGCTCACTTTTTATTAATAACTTACGTATAAATTCCTAGTTAAAACAAATAACTAATGGATTATAATGTTTGCCTCCCTTTGCAAGATAGGGACTACCCCCATCGACGTGTTTTTTCTCAATCTCAAAAGTTAGTATCGTGTTGTAAATTATTGTTAAAAAAGAAGAAATTATATTTTTACATTCTGTGAGAATCTTTGCATCGATATTATCAGGGATCAAAGCTTTTGACAGAATGTATGCAGTTATTTGAACCCACACATATGGATGCTGCACCCACACATATAATGTTGGGAGAATATGTAAATTTATCTTATTAAAACGTCACCTGCATCTAAATAACTATGATTTCTACCTGACCATTTTGAGGTACTGTAAATCACCTTTGATTAATTTGTGGATATATAGGCATTTACACCTTTGTCTGTTTTATTTTATTTGTTGTTTTTTTAGCTCACCTTGCACAAAGTGCAGGTGAGCTTTTAGGATGGCCAACCAAATGGCGTCCGTCGTCTGTCGTCCGTCCACATTTTAAATATTCTAAGGACATCTTCTATGATACCGCAAGGCCAATGTTAATGAAACTTGGCAGGAATACTCTTTGTATGAAGCTCTATCAAGATTGTTCAAAGAATTCCATTTCATGCAGAACTCTGGTTGCCATGGCAACCGAAAGAAAAATCTTTAAATATCTTCTTTTAAAGAACCGTAAGAGCTAGAGCTTAGATATTTGGCATGAAACATCTTCTAATGTGTGTCTATCAAGTTTGTTCAAATAAAAGCCCTAGGGTCAAAATTGGCCCGGCCCGAGGGGGTCATTGATTTTCCCTATATGCATATAGTAAAAACTTAAAAAATCTTCTTTTAAAGAACCCAAAGAGCTAGAGCTAAGATATTTGGCATGAAACATCTTCTAGTGAGTGTCTACCAAGTTTGTTCAAATAAAAGCCCTGGGGTCAAAATTGGCCCCGGCCCGGGGGGTCATTGATTTTCCCTATATGCATATAGTAAAAACTTAAAAAATCTTCTTTTAAAGAACTGTAAAAGCTAGAGCTTAGATATTTGGCATGAAACATCTTCTAGTGAATGTCTACCAAGTTTGTTCAAATAAAAGCCCTGCGGTCAAAATTGGCCCTGCTCCAGGGGGTCATTGATTTTCCCTATTTGCATATAGTAAAAACTTAAAAAATCTTCTTTTAAAGAACCAAAAGAGCTAGAGCTAAGATATTTAGCATGAAACATCTTCTAATGAGTGTCTACCAATTTTATTCAAATAAAAGCCCTGAGGTCAAAATTGGCCCTGCCCCAGGGGGTCATAGATTTTCCCTATATGCATATAGTAAAAACTTAAAAAATCTTCTTTTAAAGAACCCAAAGAGCTAGAGCTTAGATATTTGACATGAAATATCTTCTAGTGAGTGTCTACCAAGTTTGTTCAAATAAAAACCCTGGGGTCAAAATTGGCCCCGCCCCGGGGGGTTATTGATTTTCCCTATATACATATAGTAAAAACTTAAAAAATCTTCTTTTAAAGAACTGTAAGAGCTAGAGCTTAGATATTTGACATGAAACATCTTCTAGTGAATGTCTACCAAGTTTCTTCAAATAAAAGCCCTGGGGTCAAAATTGGCCCCGTCCCAGGGGGTCATAGATTTTCCCTATATGCATATAGTAAAAACTTAAAAAATCTTCTTTTAAAGAACCCAAAGAGCTAGAGCTAAGATATTTAGCATGAAACATCTTCTAATGAGTGTCTACCAAGTTTGTTCAAATAAAAGCCCTGGGGTCAAAATTGGCCCTGCCCCAGGGGGTCATTGATTTTCCCTATATGCATATAGTAAAAACTAAAAAAATCTTCTTTTAAAGAACTCAAAGAGCTAGAGCTAAGATATTAAGCATGAAACATGTTCTAATAGGTGTCTACCAAGTATGTTCAAATAAAAGCCCTGGGGTCAAAACTGACCCGCCCCGGGGGTCATTGATTTTCCTTATATGTGTATAGCAAAAACTTAAAAATCTTCTTTGAAAAAAACCCAAATAGCTTGAGTTTAGATATTATACATGAAACATTTTTAAGTAAATATCTACAAAGTTTGTTCAAATAAAAGAACGGGGGTCAAAACTGGCCCTGCCCCAGGGGTGTCATTGTTTTTTACTATATGTGTATAGTAAAAAGTTAAAAAATCTTCTTTTAAAAAACCCAATGAGCTAGAACTTAGATGTTTAGCATGATACATCTTCTTATGGGTGTCTACCAAGTCTGTTCAAATAAAAGCCCTTGGGTAAAAATTGGCCCGGGGGGGGGGGCTATATACAGGTGAGCGACCTCAGGGCCATCATGGCCCTCTTGTTTAAAATGATGTGAATGCGTTTTTAAATTGGTTGCTTTCAATTTTTGCTTTAACAGCAGTCATATTTATAAGTATCCATTCAGTTGTCATGCAGTGCGGATATAATTGAGCTTTCATATTATAATGTTACTCGGTCAAAAACACAAAATGTATAATACACGGACGCTGATGCATGATCTTAAATATACTTATACAAAAAGAATGGTGGAAAAATAATGGCAGGGCCGATTTAAGCACGAAAAAGGTATGTAACTGCATTTTCAAAGATGTGTAAAGTAGTTAGAGTTAATGTTTTAAATCAAAATATTGTTTCTGAACTTATTTACATGTATATAGAAAATGGTTACTAGCAAATGAAGCAAGAGTATAGTTTGTGGGGTCAATCAGAATCTTATTACAAAAAACGCGTTATTTTTTAAGGTAACTACGTACAGTTTACTCGGTGCAGAAACGTTTGATGATATATTGTAAGAACTCGTTGTTCAACCATTTGGCTTCTTTTGTGTTCAGTTGATGATACTACATTGTATTATAATATTGTAGTTTAGTGTTATACATATCTACAAAAAAGAGCAATAAATCATTTTTAAATCAATCAAATTTCTTCTTAGAACATCCCAGTATTGCCACACTGTCTCTAGTTTTCATGCACAGTGTATTATTTAATATTGGTTGCAGAAAGAAAAACGCATGAAATATTCAAATCGAATGTTTCAATAGACTCAAAATATTACACAGACACTATTTTATACAACAGCTGTTAAAGCATCATTTGAAAAGATGATATACTAGTCTTCCTTAACTGAATATCATTTCTCTCAAGTGCTTCCGTATCACACAATGCAGATGTTTCTTCTCTCACAAACTATACAAAATTATGAAAATATAATATGAAATAAATTTGATTTCTCTTTGAAAGGTATACATATAAGGAAGATATGTTTGTTTTTTATTGTGTAATTCTATTTTATTTAGAGAGGATATTCAAGTTTTTTCTATAAATACAGGATATTCAAGTTTTTTCTATAAATACGGGATTTATTTTCATTGAGTGTTATGAAATATGATAATTTTCATACCACGAGATGAAAATAAATGCCATATTTATAGAAAAAAACTTGAATTTTCTTTTTATTATATACTTTCTCTTTTTTTGACCTTACGATTTTAAAGAATTCCCCTTTAATTTTGTGTATTGGCTGAATTTAGGAGAAAGTTGTCCGGCAAGACACCAGTGAAAATACGGAAAATATGTTTCACTGCAGTGAAAAATAAATTTTTACAGTGGAAGTACGGAAAATGAAAATACGCATTTTATTGCATCAATATTTCTCGAGATTTCATTTATAAGTATATAATTAATTAATTAATTTATTTATTTTGTTGATTTACGTCGCACCAACACAGTAAAGGTCATAGCCTGGGTTCCAGTCTGTCGATTTTTGTGTGCTTCTGTTCGGCAAATAGACATTATTGATATTATCAAAACAGGATCGAGCATGAAATAGCGCGTATGTTATGAATAAGCAAAAAACATCAACGCCTGAATCCAAGGCTATATAGGTCATATTGCAACTTTCAAGCTTTACTGGCGAGGAAAGTCCTCGGGTGCCCCTTCGTGCATTTCAGGCACGAACAGGAACCTATATAAGTAGAACCACCAACGTTCCGTAAGCAAGCACTGCTGGATAGCTTCCTCATATGACGGAATCCAAAGTCCTTGGCGCGATTCGAACCTACAGCGGTAAGTGGCGAATGGTTAGAAGTCAAAAGACCCTATTCACACGGCCGCGGTTATTCTAAAATGTTATTGAATTCATGAGAAATTTTGATATGTTGCATTCTGTTCATTTGACCGTCAATAATGGTGAAAATATGGTAAAAGTAATCTGTATACAAACATTACTTTCCAACACCCAATTACTACATATATTCTATAGATCTGTAGATACATTACCCTTATCTAATTTGTTCCACAAACGGAATGACTTTTTTCTTCAGAGCAATTTTACCTACGGTTAGATGAATTTAGTGAAATATATAAAGAAATAATGTCATCAAATTTGATTGATAAAACATATGTACAGTATGGCATTTTCAATGAGTGTGCTTGTCTGAATTCTGCGTCGGAGAAGGTTGTCATGTTTAGATTTTTCTCGCAATTTTCCAAAATATGTTGCTTTTTTCATGATTATTTACTATCAACTTTAAAAGTTGTATTCATCCAGATGGGCCAAATTATTTCAATAAAACCAAACTTGAGAACAAGATTTGTAGGAAAATAAAAAGATGTAATATCTTAGTACATTTGTAATAATTTACATATTATGCGCAATTAATGGTTGATTTTGCAGTTTTTATCACCATTTTTATACTGCATGAAAAACACAGTAACGTCTATTTTGCATATTTTGTAAGTTGCGTGAATTGAAAGTGACGTACGTTTGCAATGTGCAAATTACATTATTTTTTCACTTCGCAATATTTTTTGAAATACATTTTCTAAATTTTCAAGACAATTAGCTTTAATCTGGAGGCATGCTGTTTTAAAGGCCCATTATGTCCCAGACACGCCAAGGTTTTTATTTCTCTAACACTTTCTATCTTAACTTTACGTTTGTTGGTTCCAAAAAAAAAAAGACTCTTTGGCAAATTAGCATAATCATCTTTTTGTTCTTTTGCTTTTTAGCAATTAGTACAATTATAGTGACTAAGTATTTTGTATGGAAGTCAAAATACTACGTTGTTTACATTTTGCTACTTTTATGACAAATACAATGTAGTTAAAAAATAGCGATTTTTTGCAGGTAGAAACATCTAACACGCTCATAATTAAAATGTTATAAAACTCATGTTTGCTTTGTCTGCAGAAGTAAAATTTATTAATGTTTGATAGAGGTTTTTCTTTTCGAACATCTCATATAATGATCGACAGTAAGGCGTCTTCCCACCAGAGAAGGTCCTTTAAATAGAGCGCATATAATATTATAAGAACGGCAAACTTACAATTTGTTTGCCCGTTATTATCGTCTTGTCTCATTTGTCTGTATATTCTTTATTTAGATTGTTATTTTTAAGTATCTAGACATAAACATGATTCGTTTTGCATCTTATTGACATTTGCGAAAAAAAAATCAAATCATGAGGCTCATTAAAGTTTTCAGAAGTCGCAAATTATTTCTCGGTGTTACCTCCCTTGATCCATAATTTTACAATATCCGACTTGCATTGCGTAGCTTTTAGCAAAATATACTGTAAAAGCCATGGTGTTCTTTTTATATTTGTTACAGTTATACATGTATATGAATCTGAGAAAATGGTTGAATTTTATTAACGCGAGAAATATTGTAAAACTTAGTTTTATCCGAGAATTGCAATTCTCACTTGGATTTAGTTAAAAAATCACTACAGAAATTGACGAAATAGAATCAAATATCCATTTTGTACGATGAGGGGAATGACTGAATTACGAACATTTTAGATTAAATGTACTTTACTTAACTAATGGTGTAAATTCCAAAGACAATTTATTAGCTTGTTCATAACTCTCAATAAGTGCACGTGCACGCGAGTAAATTGGATGCCATTTTAGAGAAATCAGTGATTCTGTGCTATTATATTTGCATAACAAGGATCAAAAAGCACGTCAGAATAGCGCACAGCTTGTAAAACCGTAGTATATTCCTTAAATTGTTCCATGTTCCAAACCGTCTTCAAATTAAACATATAAAAATATACCTTTAATACTGAAACAATAATCATCTTTAATTTCGCGTCGTCAAGTCTGAGAGAACTGTTCAGGTAGAACCTCTTTAATAACTCGACAAGTACAAAGTTCTTTCAAATATTGGTCTTATGTTGTGTGGCCATATACATGTAGTACATTTGTACATTTTTGCATGAATTTTATGTGTAAATCGCACGTTATAGCATAAAATGCATGCTTTTTATCATACACATCATGATCAATGTATTTTTCAACTTTTCCTTTCAAATTTTACCCCATATACTAGTATGCTTTCTTTTCTTTACAGAGCTTAACTACACCTGAATACTGCTAACGTCGGTGCAAGGGGGATGTGACATTGATATTAATAAACTCGATACAATGCAAGTGATCTTCTGTTTTTTTTTGCTTCTTCATCTTCACGCCTTTATCAGACAGGGGTTATAAAGTATATTATAAAATAAATAAAATTAAGCAAAATATGAAAACAAAGTCGGTTTTATAATTTTTATTTTCAAGACATTTTTAACCCTTTTCTGATCTTACACAATAGCTTCATATCAACGATAAAAAAATGATCTAAAATTTCTGTTTTAAAACTTTAAACAGTTAAGATGGTATCACTTTTTGTATCAAATTAAGAACTGAATTTATGGTTTCATAAACGATCTTCTGTTTACTTTTGATTTCTTTCAATACAGTACTTAAAATGTCATTATTTTTTTTAATCGTTTAATATTCCTCGCCTTCTTCCTCTCCCTCACCCTCGACGGAGTCGACTCCGACCTCTTCATAATCCTTCTCGAGGGCAGCCAAATCTTCACGGGCCTCTGAGAATTCTCCCTCTTCCATACCCTCTCCGACGTACCAGTGGACGAAAGCTCTCTTGGCGTACATCAAGTCGAACTTGTGATCAAGACGAGCCCAGGCCTCGGCGATGGCAGTGGTGTTGCTCAACATGCACACGGCACGCTGTACCTTGGCGAGATCACCACCTGGTACAACAGTTGGTGGCTGGTAGTTGATACCGACCTTGAAACCAGTTGGACACCAGTCGACGAACTGGATGGTTCTCTTGGTCTTGATTGTTGCAATGGCGGCGTTGACATCCTTGGGGACAACATCACCACGGTACAACATGCAGCAGGCCATGTACTTGCCGTGACGTGGGTCACATTTCACCATCTGGTTGGCTGGCTCAAAGCAAGCGTTGGTGATCTCGGCAACGGAGAGCTGCTCGTGGTAGGCCTTCTCGGCGGAGATGACTGGGGCGTAGGTGGCGAGAGGGAAATGGATACGTGGGTATGGTACCAAGTTGGTCTGGAACTCAGTCAAGTCGACGTTTAGGGCACCATCGAATCGGAGGGAGGCAGTGATGGAGGAGACAATCTGACCGATCAATCTGTTCAAGTTGGTGTATGTTGGTCTTTCGATGTCCAAGTTACGTCTGCAGATATCGTAGATAGCCTCGTTGTCGACCATGAAGGCGCAGTCGGAGTGCTCAAGGGTGGTGTGGGTGGTAAGGATGGAGTTGTATGGCTCAACGACGGCGGTTGCGACCTGTGGAGCTGGGTAGATGGCGAATTCCAGCTTGGATTTCTTTCCGTAGTCGACGGAGAGACGTTCCATGAGGAGGGAGGTGAATCCGGATCCGGTACCGCCACCGAAGGAGTGGAAGATGAGGAATCCCTGGAGACCGGTACACTGGTCAGCCAACTTACGGATTCTGTCGAGGACAAGGTCGACGATTTCCTTACCAATGGTGTAGTGACCACGGGCGTAGTTGTTGGCGGCATCTTCCTTTCCGGTGATGAGTTGCTCGGGGTGGAACAACTGGCGGTATGTACCAGTTCGGACCTCATCTGAAAAATAGAATAAACAAATACTTAGTACTTTATATTCGTTGTTTAAGTTATGGTTTCACAAACTAGCCATATCGATTTTTGTCAAAACATAGACATAATGCATTCTTTGCAGACTATAATTCTCAGAAATGGGGAGAAACTGTTCAGACAGAATTAATGCAGATCGGTAGATCTGTATTCATAAATAATGATAAAGTCATTCATATTCCTCCGAAATCGATATAACGTTCTGACTAAACAAATGTTTCAAAATGGCAGTATAAAAGATAAATTATTTAGTGGTTTTAGGTTTGAAACCGAATACTCTTCATTAGAAAGCTAAAAGTCAATAATCTTATCTTTCATAGAAAAATTAAAACAGTGTCTTAATTAGAAGCTTTAATACTGCATAACAACGCCAAAATAAAGACCTATAAATAGAAAATCAATCAAATTCAACTTACCGACTACGGTTGGCTCCAAGTCGACGAAGACGGCTCTTGGCACGTGCTTGCCAGCTCCGGTCTCACTGAAGAAGGTGTTGAAAGAATCATCACCACCTCCAATGGTCTTGTCACTTGGCATCTGACCATCAGGCTGGATACCGTGCTCGAGACAGTACAACTCCCAGCAGGCATTACCGATCTGGACTCCGGCCTGTCCGACGTGGATAGAGATACATTCACGCTGAAAGGAGATTGAAAAACAATCATCAGTACATTATCAAAATTACAAAACGTATACGGCAGTTTTAATCATGGCCGTTATTGTCATATATATACTATTTTTTATGAAATACATATCTTTCAGTACAATTAAAGATATACTTTGCTCATCTTTGGGTAAAGTATTTTTTATCTTAGAAATGTATTGAAATCCATGAAATTCTTACTGAAAATGTTTAATTTGAATAAATAATGAATAAACTATATATGGGAAGCTGCATTCCCTATTTGGAGTCAAGTAAAGTTGGTATTTTCTTTTTAAAAAAGTGCCAGTTTTTTTTTATGACACCATATGTTCATATTGTGACCACCTATATATAGTGTGTAGAGTTCAAAACATAACATATCTACTTTAAATAAAGTCGAAACATGTTTATTTTATACATACAAAGAGACTGTGTAGCAATCATTAATAATTTTAAAAATCAAATTTGAGCATAGTATATCTATATATATAGTAAAACACTATAAACGACTTATTTTTAAATGTTTTATGTGTTTATCTGTAGCCATTGGGGATAGGCCACGCGCTCATTCATTGGTAGGTCATTTGCGCCATGAAGTACAGATATATTTAAAAAACGTCATAAATTAATACATTTTAGCAACTGAAAATCCTTAATAATTGGGTAAATGTGTATAAATGATTATCCTATAATGTTGTGTTTCATGAAAACCTTTTGATTTTTTTAAAAAAAAATCCATAAATCAAATAACAGCATGTCTTAACTTGTCCTAGCTTAAAGTTAAACCCTTGACTTTGTACATATTGCCGACCAGTCAATAAAAAATACGGGTTTAATTATACTCAAAAACTTTAACCAAAAATTCAATTTTAAATTATTTTCAATCTAACTTAAGTTAAAGGAGGAAATTTTACGAACGTTTAAAACGTTTCTTATATTTGCTATTTTTAACTCGTTATGCAAAAATTTATCTTATATTATTATTAAATAGATGATTAAAAAACGAAAAATAAAACATAGAAAATCCACCTACCATGATTGGTGTCTTGTTGGTTGCTTGTAAAAAAGCTAAGAAACCGTACACTCACAAAAGACTTGATGTGTCAAGGTGAGAACTACAGAAGATACCCACGACGCCGATTTCTGCTGTATATATAGCCATATCTGTTTATCTGTTGCATAGCAATTTAAAATCAATAAATTCCATTGGACAAGATCGATCACGTGACCGAGATTTCTTCAATGTCACGGATAGCGATTGGTCAAGTTTGAAACGGATTTAACCGCTAGAAGTTTTATCTGTATACATCAAACTGACATGCCAGTGCAAATCGATTTTAACTGTTTATTTTGGTTTTAAGGCAAAGCTGAAAAAATGTTTGGGTGTGATGAGAAAACCTCGATTTCTGGAATGACAGAAACACAATATTATTTAATAAAAAAAAAAAAAAAAAAAAAAAAAACAACAAACAAAAACAAAAACAAAAACAAAAAACAACACCAATTTCCAATATTACGAATGTAAACATATCTTACTGCTTCGAAATAGATCATGAAAATTGGACACAGACATAATTTATATAAATCAAAAACCAGAATACAAGTCTTTCACAATTTAACAATAATTTCTATTTGTTTATATTTTAACTTTAATGAAATTAAAATTGTCTAGAAAGGGCAGGGGATGGGGGTTTATTTCACTTGCTGTCCTTATTTTTTTAACGACTGCGTCGCTTAATGCCACAATCATGCTTTATATATATAGTTAAATGGACATAAAATTGTTATAGGTGTACAGAGAAACTAAACTGAGACGGAATTGTTCAGAACAAAAAAATAAAAAAATAAATAAGTGCTAAAAATAAAAAAAAATAGAAGAAAAAAATCAGGTTTGTCAGGAAAAGTAGATATCTACATGTATATGTCCCTGGTTCTTTTATTAAAGAAATGGCATGTATAGTGACAAGACATCATTGAAAGTTTTTATAAATTCGCGTGACCATAAAGTTAGTTATTAAGACCACTTTTGACCGAACAGTGTATAAGAAACACATATTATTTTTCGCCCTATATTTTCAACTTGTTTTGGATACATTATCTGTTCACCGTACTAAAACTGGAAATCTATTGTATTTGCGTTCTATGAAGTTAACACACTTTAAACTTTTATAACATGTTTGGCCACGTGGTTATAGTAAATGCTATATAACTGATTTATTTACAATGTATTACATTTAATCCCGCCAATTAAGATAGGGTTTGTACTTTGTTGTAAAAAGCTCAATAATCTTCTTATCAGTGTTTCACAAATACTATAGTAAAGATTGTTACACCGTTATCAAAAAAAATCCAAGTTTTTACCCGTTTATAAATAATTTAATACCGGATTAACATTGATTTTAAATAACCCACACCCTAAATATATTTGCGTGTACTAAACATACACACACCAAAAATACCAGCATAACAAAAGCATTTTTCATTATTTGTATTATTTGTACTATAAGAGCGCTTAACCCATAATCTAGCTGTTATATTTCTAAAATTGACTTGTTCATCTTTCAAACTGACACATTTTAACGGAAAATGTTCGTGTAATTGTCAAAATGCTGCGGACGGTCTGGCACAAAGATAACATTCGGCATGTAACTGGGTAATGAATATATATTCGTTACTTGAAAAAGTAGCATGTTTGGCAAGGATTAAGAAAGAGGATGATTCTTTATTTAAATTAGCCGGTTTTGAGTTACAAGTTTCTCTATAAATCCATATAACATATAAAGTTTATCTTTAGGGGAAAAAAAGAAAAGAAAAGAAAAAAAAAGATGCAAATTAAGAATATACGTTTAATCATTAATTTGCGAAATATGTTAAAACAAAAGAATGTAAATCACACAATGAAATATGAACAAAATACACAATACGAAAGAATGAATTTTTTGCCACAGATATATTAAAGGTCATTCAATCTTAACAACAGACAATGCATGTTATAATAGAGAAGCCACCGATAGGGAAGACTGCCAAATTTAGTATTTCATCATTGAAAGATAAATATGAAGGAGTTATAGAGATATCATCTACTTTACCAGTCTGCTAACAAAATCAATGTTCTCTCTGTGTGGGGGTTTTGTCTATTCTGGCTTTAATCCAAAATAGGTTCACGTATGGTTATATTTCAAAATTATTTAATAAATTATTAATGTTTGTTTAGTTTTGTTTTGTAGGTATCGCAATGGTTTAAACTATATCGTCTATAAGCTGTAGGTTCGAATCCAAGCAGAGCAATCAAAGAACGTGGATGACTTTTTTCATGTGTGGAAGCTATCCAGCTAGGTTACAAGGGCCTATGGTTTTATTCCATCAGTAAAGCTGGAAAGTCGCCGAATAATTTTAAAGAGTCGGCGTGTATTAAAACCTAACCAAATCTGGCTAAAACTGTAACAAAATGTTAAATAGAATATCCCAAACCCCATGTACTTATATATTATATCAATATCTAAAAGGTTCAAATGAAGACAGCGCACAACTAATCACGTATAGAAACCGATCGGGATCCAGTCTGATCAGTACGTTTAGTGTGTTTTTGTTGTGCTATAATGAAATGTAATATAATGACATCTATAGTCTATTAGGAATACTCAGGAACTGTTAAGCAAAACTTATAGAATACTTGTTAATCTTAAATAGGACTCTAGGAAAACTAGGCACGTCCTAATCTTGACTCGCCAGTTCTAAATGGAACACTTATTTCAACACCACTCTTAAATTTCTCTTTAAAGGTGGTATCGTATTTTGTAAAAAGTAATTGTGCCATGACAATAGGTTAAATACAATATATAAAAATACCTGTTCAACACACGTTAATTTGAAAAAGAAATCGCGCACATGTCAGTGCTGGCAAACTTTCAAGGTACTTTGATTATTTGATATTTACCTGACAGTACAAATATTCAAACTAAAACTAAACTTAACTTAACAAAGAAAACAATGATTACTATGGAGCGTCTTTATAGTGTTGGTAATTTATAACAAGATATTTGTATGATTTGAAGTGTGCCAGTATACAACATAAAATATACACATACTTAACAATCGTCACCATTGATCTTTCCAATATATATCTAAGTAAACAAATCAAGTATCAAGTATTGATCATATTGTATCCTGTTATACACCAATGACTGTTACAAACAATAAAGTCTGCGTTTCATATACGGATGCTCCCGATTTCTTTTGTCAATTGTCAAATCAATGCACCAGACAAATTTCCGGGAAAAGTTGGGACTTTGAATTTTCAAATCCTCGGATCAGGGGAACCGTCCAATGTTAAAAGTTTCGACTAAATGCCCACAATTGGAATATATTCCCCTCAAATTCGGCATCAAGTACAAAATCCAAAGCATACGCGGCAATGCAGAGAGAAATGGAAAGTAAAATTCTGCTAAATTCCTCGATCCTCCGAAGAGGCTGAGAGGTGATGCATATCATTTACCAAATTACGGTAAATTTCTGTTATCTTCAGGGAAGTTCTAAAGACTTAAGCCTATTAAATATAATCATATTACCTCTATAGAAAAAAACTATTTCAGTAGAAATATACAGGCAGAACGATCAATAGGTAGTCAATAACTTGTCAAAATATCAGGGCAGGCTGATAATTGGCTATAACTATTTTTGGCAAGTATTGATAAATTTCTGAGCATGTCAATCTCAGTAGACAGAACATGTTTTGTTTCCGTAGAAACAGTGTGTTTTTACGCTTGTAGAAGATGATTAAGGTTCAGCCAAGCAGAGTCTTTCAATTAGAAGACCATTCCATTTGAAAGACCCAGAGTCAGTTGCAATAATTGTTTTAAGCATGTCAATTGGGAGAAAATGTTGTGACCAAACTTAGATCTAAACTTTAACGCTATTTCGGGAAAATAAGCAAAGTTTGGGGAAAAAACGAGTGCATATATAAACCGGAAAAATCTGATATATTCATGTATTGTATAAAAAATTTCCTGTTGCCTTTAAAATTACTAGTATTTAAATAAATACATTGCACGATCCATCTCCATGGACAAATGTTTCCGTGGATTCAAATACTAGAGCTGATGAATTCTTTACGCCTTTAACTTGCTCAGTTTAATCAGCTTCCAATTTTGAAACTATAAACTATCTTTGTTTGTATGTAGATATAGTTCTAGCATTGTATACTTCATTTTCTACTATCTATCTACATTATTTAAGACAACTTCGTAGAAAGATAGTAGAAAATGAAGTATATATATCTTTTAATTGGTGGATTAAAAGATATATGAGCCGTGTCACGACAAAACCAACATAATGGGTTTGCGACCAGCATGGATCCAGACCAGCCTGCGCATCCGCGCAGTCTGATCAGGATCCATGCTGTTCGCTATCAGTTTCTCGACTTGTAAAAGGGTTTGTAAGCGAACAGCATGGATCCTGATCAGACTGCGCGGATGCGCAGGCTGGTCTGGATCCATGCTGGTCGCAAACCCATTATGTTGGTTTTGTCGTGACGCGGCTCATATATACTTCATTTTCTACTATCTATCTACATTATTTAAGACAACTGCGTAGAACCTGGTCAGAATTCACGGAAGTGCAAACGGTCTTGGTACCATACTGGTACTTTCCGTTCCAGCAGGGTAAAGGTTAAGGTGAGGTAGCTATCAAGCCAGCTTCAAAGATAATTCAGTGATTTTGACAACATTTATTTTTCATACCTAATATCTTTCTAGTGCAGCCAGTATTAAAATAAGACAATTCAAATGTATTGGCACACACCATTAAACAGCAGTAAAGTGATTAAATGGAAGGGATACATGTCTTTTTGTCAGATTTAAAGCCAGAGAGTAAACAGTATAACCTTTGCATTGCTAGGTATCTTTAATGGACTTGTCCATCTTTCAATCTGTTCAATTTCAAATTTGATAGTGATTGAATAGTCGACAGTGCAGACCATAAACAGATGGCACAAATGTACCAGCTGATCTTGGTCTGCACTGGTTATGACGATAGATTCAAAAGCCAACAGCGGGATAAAGGTTCAAGTCCATAGATAGAACAGAGCAGATTTTTCCCCCAGACGTATTGTATGTAGTAGATAAATTTTCAATACGATTTGTACAAAATGCAAAGTGGACTGTCCTCTGTTTTAGAAAGGTTAAAGTTGTAAGTCATACTGACATTTCATAAGTCTTATGGCAATGTTCCAGCTTTATTAAGTGGAAGAATTAAGTACGATATTTCACGCTAAAAAATCACATTCTTAAACTAGCTTGATCAAAACTTCCTTACATGAAAGGATACAAAAAATCCTTATTGGATAAAATTCAATAGCAGCTATTAAAATTCAATTATGTTTGTGCCTCTGACACAGAGGTATCCAGAAGAGGGTAAAAATCATTTATAAAATCATATGTGAGTAAAGAGTAAAGAATGAGCAAGTAAAGAATAAAAAGAAACCAACTTTTTGGTGGTTATTTTAAATTTGTAGTTTTATTTTATCATATATCATTAACAATTTTATAATACACTTACAATATAACATTTTGTATTATATGAAAAAAGAAATGACACAATATAAATAAAAAGTACAAAAATGTATTGGTATAATGTGCAATAGAGCTTTAACATTAATTCAGTAGTTATGCAATATCAACTATGGATATCTAATTACACAAACACAATGATATAAAACCGATGAAGAACAATCGTTGTCAATCTCATTAAAATCAGATCATCTTTTTTTGCTCCATTGCTCATCGCTAACTAGACAGGATATGATTTTAATGAGTTTGAATCTTGTAAAATTATTATTGACTTTTGAATTATTTAAAAAAAAATGTTAACATTTAAATTATCTTAACCTTTACCATGCTCAATATCTTAAATGGACATGACCATCTCTCAATGTGGGGAAAAAAAACAATCATCATTTTTATAGAAAATTTCAAATTATTTTTAACTGAATAGCTATCAGATCTTGGTCTGTAATGAAAGCATGGATGGTAAATGTTGCTTGTTAAATAGATTTTTTTTTTGCTCAAGTTATGCATTTACACTTTGAAGAACACAGTACACATAATCATGATTTAAAACTGAAATTTGCCAACATAAACTGTGCCAAGTTAGCTTGAAAATATGGCCAAACGCTATCTACCCAGCTATATATCATTTAAGCAGCATTTCTAATTAAAACTTATATAAAATAAATACATTGCAATAACAACAGGATAATATTTGAAAACTGATTTGAGCCGCGTCATGACAAAACCAATATAGTGCGTTTGCGACCAGCATGGATCCAGACCAGCCTGCGCATCCCCGCAGTCTGATCAGGATCCATGCTGTTCGCTATCACTTTCTCTACTTGTAATAGGGTTGGTAAGCGAACAGCATGGATCCTGATCAGACTGCGCGGATGCGCAGGCTGGTCTGGATCCATGCTGGTCGCAAACGCACTATGTTGGTTTTGTCATGACACGGCTCATTTCATTTTTAACAATACAAAGGTATTTCAGATTAAACAAATCTTCTAGAGTTAATCACTTTGGTTAAACAACTTGTGAAGGAAATTCTCCACAGATTAATTTGATAAGGACAAGTCGCAATATGTCTTAAGGAAATATTAATACCTTTTAATTACCTTTTGGCCTGATTAACATGGAAAAAAAAACAACAATTTCCTAAGGCTTTGAATCAAAGATGTCAAGTGTAAATTATTTTCATAACATCTGATTTGTGAAATCTAATTTACTACATGTTTATAATGACAAAATACTAATTAGCTCAATTTTAAGAAGAAGAAAAAAACAACTTTGTTGTAACCTTTTTTTGTTTACTAGGAACAAATACATTAATTAAATGCATGAAATGATTAACTGAATGCATTATGTGGGGAAAAAATATGTTTTATACATCAATATATTTGAATTCTATCACTTGACAAAATACAATCATGTAAATGAAATAACAGCAAGACTGAACATCTCTATTTCAATACACCAGTATTAGACCAGCATGCAAGTTTAAAAGTAAGTACATATGTACTAACACTTGGTAGCAAGTATTCCTTAAACTTAAACAAATACCTCCCTGCAAACCTTGGCAACCACTTTTACATAAAATTTTAATGAACACCAAAATCTGAATTCATATAAACAATGTTAACCATACACCATCACACAAAAGAAATATTTTGCTTTCCATCTTCTTTTCCATTCTCTTACTAAATTTTGTCAAGTAAAATAAAATGACTTAAGGATTATGTACTACTTCTATCATTTCTGACAGGAAAACTTCTCTCATAACAAATAGCTGTATTTCTCAAAACAAGAGTTACCTTTGTCATAACAAAGAGCTGCTATACTCATAACAAATTTTTGCTATTTTCATAACAGAGAATTAAAAACAGAAAGTTTATTTTTACATAACAAAGCTGGTACTCTCATAATAAAAACTATATATCCAAACTCATAAAGGTGTAGGAAAATACAGGTGTTTTAAATCCTTCAAACACAGGCCACTTTGTTCACCTTCAGCTCTAAGGTGTAAAATTACCAGTATCGTTCATCTAATATTACCACTAGTACAAAAGATACAGTGACAGTTGAATTAAGTGTGTGAGTGCAAGATCAATATGAAAAGTTCAATTAATTGGGATATATTTTACAAAGCATTGATTATAAAGCTAGCCATGTATTCTAATTGTTCTGTTCAATTTAGATAATAATTATCAATTTAGATAGAAAGAAAAACGTATTCACAAAAGCTTGTAATAACTCAATTAAGGGAAGTAACTTCATTTTGTGATTTTTGTTAATTGGACAATCTCCAAACAGTGCTCTCCCTTTACAGTACTGTATATGGGGAGATAACCACTTTGTGGAGAATTAAAAAAATAAGATCTGAATACATTTACAAAGATTGGATATTTATTTTTATCAGTAGATATCAAGTTTGTTGCTTAGAATGATCATGAATTCTAGTAGTTTTTATCACTCAAAGAACAATGTTTCTTTGGTAGACAGATCTTAACTATCTTCAAATGATTCATCTTAAAAAAAACAAAAGTCAAAAATAAAAAAGAGGGCCATGCTTGTATGAAAATACAAGAAATGGTCAAAAGTTTTCAATGCAGATTAAGTGCATTGTAATTTCATTACATTTGATTTGTCATTTTTTACCACCAAAGCATATTAAAAAAACTTTTGAAGAGGACTACATTGTTAAGTACAAGACAAATATCTGTACTCTTGGCATTGAAGTTTCCGAGAATATGATTTTTAGTTTGTAGTTTAGGAGATGTTGTTTAAAGAAATTGCTGACACATTGCTAGCATAAAAAATCATCTCTGAGCACTTTGTGATTAGATGAGCTTAAAATATGAATTAAAACGAATGTTCAGATCATACCTCTATGCATAAAATATGTAAAGCATTAAATCACTCATTCATTAACCTATGATACTTAATACACATACACACACTAATAGCCATTTTCGTAAACATGTCTTGATTGTGTTAATAACAAGTTAATAAATATCAAAATGTCCTATGTTAATCTTTTATAATGCATGAAGTATTTTAAAACTTGAATAGTCCATTTGATATCATGCGACTCTGTATTCAAAATAGACCTTCTATTATTCATTATGTTGCAAGGTCTGGATGGCATCTTATAAAAGTAATCACTCAATTAATGTAATTAATTAAAAGTTCCATTTATTCCAATTTCCATTCTTTCCAATAATACTGCAGTGTTCATTCAGCACATATTTTCAGGTATTTAAGAGACAGTCTTGTACTTGGCAGTAACAACAAAATACTGTGTGATCTAGGTGTTATGACAGTCTCCTATAAGCATCCAGGCTGTCAACATGTTAAACATTTATACCAAGTTTACACAATATTGGCTAGCCATACACATCTTCATACTAAAATACCAATTTATTGCCAATCCTTTCTTCCATCAATCAATCACTCAGTCCAATGTCTGTCCTGTAGTAATCTAAAGCAGAAAAAAGAAAGACAAAGAATTAACATGATGTTATGTACCAAATAACAAGAAGTGGCATAATACAGTGTTTAATCAATTATTGAATGTTTTGGTACTACCACTTACTGATTTTTTTTTTGCATATTACAGTGTTTGACACTGAAACTAACTTTTTTGCATATCATACTGGCTTTGACACTATGACTGGCTTAGTATATAACACAGAGTTAGACATAATGTTTCAATACTTTTTTGGCATACTTTACAAGTGTGCATGGTTCAACACTGTAAATGTTTTTGCACATTTTACAGGGTAAGACAATACATCATTCTAAGGCATATTGTTTTAGCATATTAAACATGTACAGGGTCCTCCCAAGAAATCCAAAGTATGTCCTACTATTTATATCAGGGATCCCTTCTTGATGTCAGAAATTCTTCTATTAAAAGATACAAATAATGAGAGTGAAGATCCTTTCACTGCCAATCTGTTTTCTCCTATTTTAAATAACAAGAGGGCCATGATGGCCCTGAAATCGCTCACCTGTATATAGAAACTCTCCATGACAAGGAACAAGTAATATTGTAAACTATGAACAAAAGCAGATATAAAATCAAAATCTTAATCTGATATCACAAAGTTCATATTTGTATCTAAAATAGTGCATGTGCTCCCGGGGCAGGGCCAATTTTGACCCTAAGGCTTTTATTTAAACAAACTTGGTAGTCACTCACTAAAAATGTTTCATGCTAAATATCAAAGCTCAATCTCTTTGGGTTTTCTAAAGATTTTTTAAGATTTTACTATATACATGTACTTACATATATAAGGAAAATCAATGATCCCCTGGGCGGGGTCAATTTTAACCCATGGGCATTTATTTGAACAAACTTGATAGACACCAATTAGAAAATGTTTCATGCTAAATATCTAAGCTCTAGCTCTTTGGGTTTTTTAAAAGAAGTTTTTACTATATACATATATGGTAAAACAATGACCCCCTGGGGCGGGGCCAATTAATGACCCCAGGGCTTTTACTTGAACAAACTTGTGAGACACTCACTAGAAGATGATTCATGCCAAATATCTTAGCTCTAGCTCTTTGGGTATTTAAAAGTTGATTTTTTAAGTTTTTTTCTTTAGGTTGCCATGACAACCGGAGTCCTGCATGGAATTAAATTCATTGAACAATTTTGAAAGGTGACCACCAAATGATCATTCCTGTGAAGTTTGAATGAAATGGCTCAGTGGTTTATGAGGAGATGTCATTTCAAGTTTTAGTTCTTAGCATTAATTGTGAAAAATATCTAAATGCATTTCTGCATGTCAATAACTGCAAATGCTAGCCGACAGTGGGAGATTCAACGGAATAGTTTCTAACCTACAGCATCTTCATTTATGATTTTATTAATTTCTTGTATATCTGAAAAGGTACCAAACTTTAAAACTCTAAAAATGTCAGAAAAGTTTGTATATATGATGTTTAGTGAGAATGATGATAATATTTATGCTGTACATAAATGTTTTTCATCTAGAATCAAATTTCTAAAAAGTTTAACATCTGGTTGAACCTATATAGCGGATTATTTGGCTTAGTAGCATATACCTTTTCTCATCTTTTTATTCACTTTTGTCATTTAATATGCCTTAGTTTCTTATTGTTACAAAGTCTTTTGTTAATTGTGTTTGCTAATCATAATTAAGCTTTAGTAATGTTATGTTTTTGGTTCTGTACATCTTGTACAATGTCAATTATATGTGATTATACGCCTGTAAAGGCCCATGATTGGAAATAAAATTTATTCTATTCTATTTGCAGTTGTGCTATACATATTGTTTTTTCTTTATTTTATATTTGTGGTTTAAATAAATCATTTGATATGGACACAGCAATTTTTTCCCTACAAACCCAGCTAACAACGACAGGGATCAATGTTGAGCACTGTTTTGTAATCAGGTACTGTGATACATACCCTAGCTTCTATATATTCTACTCGTCTCTCAAGTTGTGTCAATTTTTCATTCAGTGTTGCCAGGCGTGATCTACACGAGGTATCTGGAATATAAAACATAGTCTTAGCATCATTTCTTATATTCCGTTTAAGAACCCCATTTTCTAATTATATGAATTAAATAAATTCAAAATGGTAAATGACAAACACCACTTCAACTTAAGATCTGTTCAAAATGAGAAGCTAGTCATACCGAAACCAACAACTGAGTACTTTAGGAAATCATTTGATTATTCTGGTCCTAAAATATGGAATGACATCCTAATTCATATAAAATTTGAAATTCAGATACTTTGAAGAAATTTCAAGCCACATATATTAAGTGGTAATTTTCTAATTAAATGATTGTACATATTGTTTTAACGATAATGCCACACAAGAATAGAATGTATGTTTTGTTTTTACAATATTGTTCTAATCTTACTTGTAAAATAATGTATCTTCCATGCCAAGGTTATGAAAATGTGGCTTCTTGGTGTCTTTTTTTTATTTGTGTATATGTTATTAAAAATGTGTAAAATATATATTGTTATGTATATGCTGAGGCCCACATGTATGCAAGATCGAGAAACCGAATATGTTAGACTCTTTAAATAAAGTTGTTACTTACTTACTAACTTACAATTTTGCTGGTAAAAGACTGTTTCATGTGGTTGTGATCTATAATCAGATAATCTATTATCCCCACATTACCAAATATATTGGTATAAAATGTATGTGCCTAGAGTGATGGATTTAATCTTATTGTTAGGGTACATTTTACATTATTTGACAAGTTCAATTTATTAAAATTACTGATGGACTTTCCCTACTGCTTAATCTTCAGTGTATTCGTCCTGTCACAATATAACAACAGGGACTTTCAGCTAGCTCAATGATATTGGTAACAACAGAACAATATAGTATAGGGCCTACTCGGCATATATCCGATACTTAAAATACAGGCATTCGCATCACTGACTTTTTCATTAAAAATCCTTTGTTTAAATTATGTTCTTGTGACTGACATCTGGATAAGCACAAAGAATTTGACGAGACCTTACAAAAGAGGAATATTTCCGAAATGTCTAATGATATCACAGTATCTAAGCTGACAAGGGAAACATTGACATTTTCAATATGAATTTGCTTATTTTGGCATGATAAATTACGATGTCACCCACAGAATCTTTCAAAATCTTACCAAATGAGTTAAGAAAGTCAGCTATCTTCTTAATGCTACAAGTTATCACTTCAATATATTCTCTATTCGCCCAGTCTTGCTGAATTGGTTTTTGGATTGCATTTGGCTGCTGTCCGGAAGACATTTTGGTAAAATTATTGTTAACTTCCGGGTCTAACAGTCTGTAAGATTAGTAGCGATTGGATAGTTTTCGTTTAGAAGATCCAATCAAAAACAAGTTCTCATGTCATTGTGACAATGTTCGTATCCTCGATTTTGATTGGAAACTTGACACATCGTAATCCAATCAGAAAAGTTGTAGCACAAACAAAGTAGTAAACAAAGTAAACGAATAAATTATTTTTTGTTTACTGTATCTCTTTAGTTTAACATCTTACAAAATTTCAATCTTTGAGATCAATCTGTAGAGAAAAAAAAGTAAGGAAGGTTTAGATTTGTTATTAATGACGCAAAATATGTCACTTGGCTGCTATTTTTTATTTGTCCTTAGTTTTCGCGATGTAAACAGGTCTACTTACATAATTTTATGTGTGTGTGTGTGTGGTAGACCGGGAGTGAAAGCCTTCATCTGCCTATCATCAATGGAATAATTCAAGGATACACTCAATATTGATGAATTACCTTTTATTCAGTAAAGAATTTTGTATAAGAATTGAAGATTGAACAGAACTTTTTTATTCTCAAAACCTGTGGAGAAAACTTTTTTGAATCGCCTTTATGGAGCATTGGGCACGTCTTTGTCGTCTGTCCGTCCGTCTGTCACAAAACTTGCCCGGACTACTCCTCATAAAGTGCTGAAACTTTACAGGAATGATCAGTATTAAGTCTAGTTGTGCATATTGTCGGCATTTTCCCGTTCAATGATTTTTGGCAGAGTTATGACCCTTTAATGATTTTTTTTTTGTAAAGTTTGTCAGGACTACTCCTCTTATACCACTAATGCAATTTTAATTAAACTAAACATGATTGATCTGTAGCTCAAGTACTTGCGTGTATTACATGGGTTTTATGGTTGAATGATTTTAGCGGAGTTATGGCCCTTGAATAAAATGAAACTTTACTAGTTGATTGGTAGGTCAAATACTTGGGCATATTATATTTATTAGGTTTTCGGGTTGAATGATTTTTGGCCGAGTTATGGCCCCTGAATTAAAAAGGTGTTAATAAAGTTGGTCTGGACTACTCTTCTTATACCACTAAAGCAATTTCAATGAAACTTTACAGAATTGATCAGTAGCTTAAGGCCTTAAGACAAAGTACTTGGGCATTTTACAGGAGTTTTCCGCTTCATACTTAAATGATTTTTGGCAGAGTTATGGCCCCTGAATAAAAATGCGTTTTGCCCTGTTAAAGAATTTTGTGTTTCCTGCTACATTGTAGCTGCAACATGCATGAGGCGACACATGTGATCTCTGATCGCTCTTGTTTATTAAAAATACAGCAGTGTTTTATAAAATCAAAATTTTACAGTATCTGCTGCCTGTTAAAAGATCTTATACAGTAAAGTAGTTAATATAACCTACCAGTGATTTTTCAATTTATTGTTAAAAAGAGGCCTATTCCCATTTGAAGTTTTCTTGAAAATAGTGCAGTTTTCCCTTAAATCTAAACTTACACCAGACTTTCTACTTCTCAAATTTGCAATTTTAGCAATAATTTTTTCCCAAAATCAAGAGGCTAAGGCCTCTTCACAATTAAGTAAGAATATTCACGGTCTACATACACATGTGCTGATGTAGTACGTAAGATTTTGAGTCAACATGCCCTTTTGTCAACTCACCCCATGGTCAACTTGCCACCTTTTTGGGCAACTCATCCCCTAACTTGTCATCTATTTTCTCTCATTTCAAATTAAGTTGTTTATGAATATTATGAGAAAATTTTGTCTTATATAAGTTAACACATGTACTGTTAGTGTAGCAAATAGAAAACTCCGAAACTTAAGTTGTCTGAGATACAAAGACCTCCTTGCTTAATTTTGGTGGCAGTAAAGTTTCTTAATTTTGTCTATAATAATTTAATTGTTCCTTGTTGTACTATATTAAAACCTGTACAAAGAAGATATTCCTGTAAAATAAATTCAAAATAGATAAATAAATAAATAAAAGAAAAGCCTTGTAAATGCTCTTGAATCCACAGATTTGACTATGAGTTGATCTGCATCAAACTTATCTGAATGTGTGAAATGATATGCATGTACATTATGTACAGGTCAAGTTTGAATATGGGTATATTAGGTTGCAGTCTTCTTTGTTCAAAGTTTGAACTTCAAAAGTTAGGAAACCAGGTCAAATCAAAGAAAAACCTTGTTAATACTCTAGAGGGTCTTAAATATAGGTTTATTTTTTTATTGCTCAAAGAAAACATTAAGAAAATAAATGAAAGCGTTTGCGTTTTATTTTATTTTTCAGACTTTGCTATGTTTTCTTGGAAAACATTGTTGAAGCCATGGGGAGGGGGTGATACTCAGAGACCTCCAGAGAAAGATGAACAAATGATGTTAAGTGATTCATTGATGTTAGAACTGGAATTTCATATCAGAGAGTCGGAGAGAGTGAACCGGGAAAGAGAACAAGAACAACGTCGACAGGAAACCGGAGTTGACTATAGCTGGTTAATTACCACCCCAGTTAAATCATATGAAATCCCACAGCTAGTGAGATTAGAATTGGAGGAGATGTGTTATCAAATTAAACCATCAGAATGTGGTAAAGTGATCACTCAGTTTAGAGATTCTCTGTTAAATGAACCAAGTGTGACAGACATGCCTCGGATAATGAAAGCATGTATTCAGCAAGTACTTGATCAGCGTCCGAAAGAAGAGACCCTTACTCAATGGGTTACTAAGAGAACTGTTAGCCTTACAAATATCAAACTTCGTCCACAGTCCAAAATTACACCTACAGATGTTGACATAACTGATGATGTGGAAAGCCAGTCAACTATAGATACAGTTTGTTCTAGGGTAGAGCAGATATCACCAACCTCATTCTCAGGAAGATCCAACTCATTGCCAGTGTATCATGGAGCAACAACTAGAAATATTGACCATCTGCCTGTATGAATACATTGTATTACTTGTTAGGCAAAATTAATCAAGGAACTGCAGAATTGTTGTTTTTTTAGCTTGACTATTCTCAGAATAGGGAGAGATATTGTACTCAACCAGGCATTGGCACCACATTTTGGAAAAGTTTTTGCATGTAAGCTGATATCTCTAAAACTACATATAGGAATGGGTTGAAATGTCACATACTTAGATATTTGAGTGCCTAATAGGAGGTTTTTGTCCAAGGCCAATAACTCTTTACATGGATTTTGACAGAATTATGGCCCTTTTGAACTGAGAAAATTTACATTATCCAGGCACTTGTTTTACTACTGAGAAAAGTCGAGCATGCTGTCCTACTAACTGACAGCTCTTGTTTTTGTTTAGAACTTAATTTTATTTGATATAAATGGGATATTGTAAGCTATTTACAAGTTGATGTTTGTTCATTGTTTTATGATGGCAAGTCAAATCATTGTAGTTATATTTTTTATTCATTTGAAATAGAAAGAATTCGTTTAGCATGATACCTGCCTTATAAATGAATTCAATAAGCATTACATGTGTTATAAATCTATAATTTTTATTGTCAAAATCATAATATTTATAATGGTGCTTTACAAGTGGTGGTTCATATATTATATACATGTATAAAGCAGTTACATTTTAAAGATATAAGTGTAAACATTGTTTTTGTTTAATTTTCCTTTTACTTGAATTTTATTTGTTTATTTCAAGTTTAAACCATTGTTACTTTTTAAGTAATACATGTACAACAACCAAAGCTGGAAAAAAAATGTGATATATTTTGTCACTTTCACTATCTTGTATCAAATTTACATCAATATTAGAGACCCACAATACACATTCTGAATGTACTATATTAAAGATAGAAAATAGCCTGGGCTACTGAATGCTTTATTGATAATGGTCAGCAAAGAGATACAAAAATAATATCTTCATCACCATATCAACATGTGGATTAAAAACATTAAATTTTTTAGCCTATTACATTGTATCTCACATTATGAAAGACTGAGGATTTAATGATAATCCCTTTGATAACTAGTGATATGCATAAACTGTTACATTCACCAACCTGTAAGAATGAAATCAAAGGCGTTTTTGTGACTGTATTGTATAGTATCCCCTACCTGCACCCCCGCCCCCTATAAGTGATGCATTAAGATGATATTCTTAAACCAGCTGAATTTTTCCAGCTTCCATTTTTGGAACTTTCTGTTATGAAATTTAGGGGATAACAAGGTGAAATTATAATAAAATATAAACTTTGTCAGACTGCACGGATATGCAGGCTAGCCAGGTTATATACTGGTGGCAATGGCAAATATATATCATTCTGGGTTTCAGCTGGTTAATAGTTAATAGTTAAGGTAGTCCTACTGCAATGCTTTCCTGCCGAAAAAATTCTTTCATCAGCCAATATTGTAATAAATTGATAATTGTTCACAGTCTTCGGTATTCAATAATTTTTAACTGGTTTTAGCTTGAATTAAGTGCACAGCGATAAAGGATGAGTGCATGATTGTAAATAATCTAATGCCCAAGATTTTGAAAAAAATAACATTCCGGAAATATCTGATTTGCTATGATATTGGCCGATGTTAGAACTTTTTTGGTGGGAAAGCATTACAGTAACACTACCTTAAGAAGCATTTAAGAAATATCTGATAAAAATGTTTATGACATGTATATATTAAATATTATATTGTTAAAACTTCTAGTCTTCTAGTCTTCATTTCTATTTCTAGTCTTCTTACTGATTTTTTATCAAAATTTCTCTTGTTTAATTTGCAACATTATATATGAGGTATTATTTAAATTATTTTGAAATACATTTTTTAGCTCACCTGTCACTTTGTGACAGGGTGAGCTTTTGTGATCGCTTTTCGTCCGGCGTCCGTCCGTCCGTCCGTCGTCCGTCCGTCCGTAAACTTTTGCTTTAAATGACATCTCCTCATAAACCGCTGAGCCAATTTCATCCAAACTTCACAGGAATATTCCTTTGGTGGTCACCTTTAAAAATTGTTCAAAGAATTTAATTCCATGCAGAACTCTGGTTGTCATGGCAACCGAAAGAAAAATCTTTAAATATCTTCTTTTAAAGAACTGTAAGAGCTAGAGCTTAGATATTTGGCATGAAACATCTTCTGATGAGTGTCTACCAAGTTTGTTCAAATAAAAGCCCTGGGGTCAAAATTGGCCCCACCCCAGGGGGTCATAGATTTTCCCTATATGCATATAGTAAAAACTTAAAAAATCTTCTTTTAAAGAACCCAAAGAGCTAGAGCTAAGATATTTGGCCTGAAACATCTTCTAGTGAGTGTCTACTAAGTTTGTCAAATAAAAGCCCTGGGGTCAAAATTAGCCCCGCCCCGGGGGGTCATCGATTTTCCCTAAATGCATATAGTAAAAACTTAAAAAATCTTCTTTTAAAGAACTGTAACAGCTAGAGCTTAGATATTTGGCATGAAACATCTTCTAGTGAATGTCTACCAAGTTTGTTCAAATAAAAGCCCTGGGGTCAAAATTGGCCCTGCCCCAGGGGGTCATAGATTTTCCCTATATGCATATAGTAAAAACTTAAAAAAATCTTCTTTTACAGAACCCAAAGAGCTAGAGCTAAGATATTTAGCATGAAACATCTTCTAGTGAGTGTCTACCAAGTTTGTTCAAATAAAAGCCCTGGGGTCAAAATTGGCCCCGCCCCGGGGGGTCATTGATTTTCCCTATATGCATAAAGTAAAAACTTAAAAAATCTTCTTTTAAAGAACCGTAAGAGCTAGAGCTTAGATATTAAGCATGAAACATCTTCTAATGAATGTCTACCAAGTTTGTTCAAATAAAAACCCTGGGGTCAAAATTGGCCCCGCCCCAGGGGGTCATTGATTTTCCCTATATGCATATAGTAAAAACTTAAAAAATCTACTTTTAAAGAACCCAAAGAGCTAGAGCTAAGATATTTAGCATGAAACATGTTCTAATGGGTGTCTACCAAGTATGTTCAAATAAAAGCCCTGGGGTCAAAACTGGCCCGCCCCGGGGGTCATTGATTTTCCTTATATATGTATAGCAAAAACTTAAAAATCTTCTTTGAAAAAACCCAAATAGCTAGAGTTTAGATATTAAGCATGAAACATCTTTAAGTAAATATCTACAAAGTTTGTTCAAATCAAAGTCCGGGGGTGAAAACTGGCCCTGCCCCAGGGGTGTCATTGTTTTTAACTATATGTGTATAGTAAAAACTTAAAAAATCTTCTTTTAAAAAACTCAATGAGCTAGAACTTAGATGTTTAGCATGAAACATCTTCTTATGGGTGTCTACCAAGTCTGTTCAAATAAACAAATAAAAGCCCTTGGGTAAAAATTGGCCCTGGGTTGGGGGGGGGGCTATATACAGGTGAGCGACCTCAGGGCCATCATGGCCCTCTTGTTTCAACAACTTTCAACTTCTGAAATTCGCTGTTAACCTTTCTAAGATGAAAATGTTAGGTGCACATTTTGATAGTTTTGCTTCAACTTTGTTTTTACATAATGGTTCTTTTTTGTTTGTTATTTTTTTTATCAATCCACCATTTATCAATATGTGGAAGAAAATACTTTAAAAATTAAGTTACTTGTCTTTAAGCAAATTAAAGCTACGCAAATTGTTGTGCTTGAATTTTTGTTGTTGATGTTGTTTATTTATGTTGTATACATGTTTATTTATTTTGGTTATTTTATAACCTAGCTATTGGAAGCATATTGAAAAATATTGGGGCTATCCGATTTCAGCTGTGGCCTGTGTTGGTGAAACACTTGATTTGGCAATTTACTGGTTACTGTGACTGGTACAAGGGTATAATTATTCTATATCTCTACAACCAATGTATAGCTGATGCTTACCATGCTAAATATCTTAAATGGACTTGTCTGTCTTTCAATCTTTTAAGCTGAACAAAACTGTTCATCATTTATTGGGTAGAAATTTGAAATATTTACTGACTGAATAGCAAACAGTGCAGACCATGATCAGCTAAACTTAATCTGTTTTGGTCACATGGGTAGATTCAGTCTGTACCAGCAGGTCAAGAGTCAAGCACAGAGAAACAATTGTTTTTTTTTTGTCTCAAAGCTTTTAACAACATGCATAGTATTTAGTATTAAAACCTAATTTACAATCTTTTGTTAACTATTTCTGTCAGTTTAGAATTCAATTTTTATACATATAGGTATCTTTTGTAAACTTTACTTTTCAGTTATACATAATTGAGCCGTGCCATGACAAAATCAATGTAATGCGTTTGCGACCACCATGAATCCAGACCAGCCTGCGCATCTGCGCAGTCTGATCAGGATCCATGCTGTTCGCTTAAAAACCCTATAACAATTAGAGAAACTGATAGCAAACAGCATGGATTCTGATCAGACTGTGCGGTTGCGCAGGCTGGTCTGGATCCATGCATGTCGCAAACCCATTATGTTGGTTTTGTTGTGATACGGCTCATATTTGTTTTAGCCTTTCCTTTATTACTAAAGTTGACATTTTAAAAACTATATTTACCTCATGGATAAAATATACATATCAAAAGATGTCTGTAGTTGAAAAGACAGCATTGCATATCACCATTTACATTTTATCAATGGCAATTAATTTACATGTATCTATAACTAGTTTCTCATTTCATTATTTCATCCCTAAACTTGCTAAATTGGCTTGTTCAGCTGCCCTATTTTGGAAGTGTCCATTCTCATTTTTGAGGGTATCAAGTAAGTCTGCCAACAGTCTGATCAGACTGCATGGATGTGTAGGCTACCCTTGCTCTATACTAGAGACATAGATTAATCACTTTCAGTTCCAGCAAGGAAAGGGTTTACTAAGTACAAATCTATCTCTGTCATTTATGCATAAATTTGTTTGTCCTTGTTGACAACATTTTTATAAAGCATTCTTTAATTGATTGGATTTTTAAAACAATGTTTAATGAAATTGGTCAAATTTCAGTTTCATTTTTTTTAATGCAAAAATTAAAAGTTAAAGCATAGTTTTAAAGAATACTCTGATCATTATGTTACAATTTTTTTTTTGGTAAAAGATACACAATGCACTTTTAGTTGTTAATTGTGTAATATGAAATCCTTTCCAATGTTTGTCAATTGCAATATTTTGATGAAAAAATTTATAACAGGTAATTTGTTTAAAATTTAAGTGATCATTATTGTAAGTGAGTAGATAGAAAATATAAATACTAGTAGTCTGCCTAGGTTGGTATGAAAGGGAGAGTCTGTACTATACATAACATGAACTCTTGCTGTAAAGTGCCTGAAATGTTGGAAGGACATTCATTTAACTACAAAATATCTTATCATTAGAGATGAAAAAACAATAATATCAGACAAAAGTTTTTTATATTTCTTTAAAACATTGACATTTTTAGCTTGGACTACACAAGGTATATGTACAATGTTTATTGAGAGCTGTCCTTCTACCCCAGCTTTTTCATTCACATCCAGATTTTCTGGTTGCAGTAAAATATTTTTTACTGTTAACATCTTTATTTCCATAATATGATTTACTGTTAACTTCAAATACATGTATATGTTTGATACTATCATGTCTTTATTTACTGTTGCCAGTATTTTATTGGTTGAGCATACTGTCTCCTCTGTTTATGAACCCTTAATCTGCTGGAAGTATAAATGAGCCGCGTCACGACAAAACCATATAGTGCGTTTGCGACCAGCATGGATCCAGACCAGCCTGAGCATCCGCGCAGTCTGATCAGGATCCATGCTGTTCACTTACCAACTCTTTTTACAAGTAGAGAAACTGATAGTGAACAGCATGGATCCTGATCACACTGCGCGGATGGCCAGGCTGGTCTGGATCCATGCTGGTCGCAAATGCACTATGTTGACTTTGTCGTGACGCAGCTCAAATGTAATTATTGTTTGTCATCAGTATAGAACTGAGTCATCCTACACTTCTGTACAATCGGACCAGACTATCCTGTTGGTAGCTCACATTTTGTATCGCTATATTAAAAACCCTTTAATTTTAAAATGGACTGTTCCAAATTCAAAACTGGGCAAATCCATTACACAAAATCAGCAGATTTAGGGTTAATTTTCTTGATTTATTCTTCACTAAGTGCTTAGTTTGTAGAAACCAAAACCTCTTTGTATTATGTTGCATAGTGTATTCATTACAATGTGAATGATGTGTAGTTTTACATTTATAATATAAAATTGAAAGTGCTATGAATCAAGATATTTTGTATTGTTTACATACATATATAATAATAATATTATTGTGTAAATACAATCCACATTTGAAATTTTGAAAAATATAGACCTTGAAATAAGCAGTCTGATCAGGATCCCTGCTGTTCGCTTACAAACTCTGTAACCAGTATAGAAACTGATAGGGAACAGCATGGATGCTGATCAGACTGCGTGGATGCGCAGGCTGGTCTGGATCCATGCTGGTCGCAAACCCATTATGTTGTTTTTGTCATGACACAGCACAAATATTTTAAAGCAGCCTTCAGCTTTTCTTATGGTTAGATATGTTATTTTTAGAAAATCGTTTCATCAAAAGAGTTAAGGTGAAAATGAAATTTGCCACTGATAAAATATTTAATCTATAAGGAAACCTCGCAATACCTCTATAATGTACTGGACTGCTCTCTTCATTTAAATTTGGTACACAGACAATTTGTTTCCAAATCTTCCATTTTTGTA